AATTGTGGAGAGGGAGAGAGAGAGAGAGAGAGAGAGAGAGAGAGAGAGATAGAGAGAGAGAGAGAGAGAAGGGCGGAACAGGCTGTAACAAAACAAGCGTCTCTATTACCTAAAATAAACTTATAAAGCACCCAAGGCTATTACCCTATCCATACCAGAGCAGAGTTAGGATTTTCACTGGCAGCAGATCGAGTTACTACTCAGTAAAATCAAGACAAGCAGGTCCATATCGTGTGCTTATACAGGCTGCTCTCATCACCTGAAGGCCTGCGAGCATTACGGTCATTACGGTAATTATTATTTTATGGTACATTATCTCAAAACATGCTGCAGGAATCCGCCGGCTTACAGTTCGATATTTTTCAATGAACCCGATGATGAGTGTCAGAGGGCGAAGTGTTTAATAGTTTCACGTGTGTCACTGTAGATTTCTCAGTCTGTACACACACTGAAGGCATTCAAGGGTGAAAGCCGTGTTATTCTCAATTGCGCTGGACAGAATTTCATCTGGATTGAGGAAATAGAGATAGAATAACAGTCGGCAAAAGAAGTAAAACAATGCTAAAATTAATGGAAGGGGGCAGTCACCTGAATGTCTGGCTGTGTGCCCAAATAAAGACTTGCCTCAGGTGATAGAGGGAGGAGAAAGGGAAGGGGAAAAGATTCATTCAGACATTTTTATTATACTGATCTTGTTGTAGCCTTTAGTCAAGTGCAGTCAATCTTATAGGTTTGCTACAGACTTCATTTAAAGTCAGTATGAGTTGAGTCTCTCAGGCCTTATTTAAATGTAGGGAGAATCTGTGTCAGTATTACCAACAGTGTGCTGTTGGGGCTTTTCACAGCACTCAGACAAGGTCTGGTGAAAGCTGTATTTACCTTCACATGTACTGCATATGGACACTGCACAATATTCTCATTTTAATATGTGTCTATTGAAACAAACTCAATTTTAAGCCCCTTTAGCGTGTCTGTGGAACACAAAATTAAAAGAACATAGCTGATTCCAGCCCCCCAAATTCTTTACAATAACTCATAATGCTTTTGGGAGAGCCGTCGTTTTGTCACATTTTTCCACAAGTCGCACATCTCCTTAAGGAATGAAACTCTTCGAGAGGCTGCGAATACCTGTGGCGGAATTGAGTGTGAAGTGCCCTTGCAAATCTCGCAAGAGTTCTGTACAGCTGATGTTACCGCAGTGGATGCTGGAGGCTGCAACTGCGTCAAAGAGCACTTAAAACATGCTCAGCCACATTTCTGATCCCTCACCATGCCTCACTTACCCCTCCCTCCTCCATCAAACTGCCCCTCCAACCCCCCCACCCTCCCCACGTTCCCCTAGGAAGAAAACTGGGCAACATCTGGCTGAGTTTATGAGAGTGAGAGAGAGAGAGAGAAAAAGAGAATTGGTAGACCATGAAAACTAGGGAGAATTCTTTCTTGGGCAGTGCAAGAGTCTATTGTTGTAGTTGCTATTAGTGGCGGTGAAACTTTAATCTTGTGAAAATACCCATTGTTGCACTCACATTTACCAATACACTGCCGATGTCAATGTTCACATTATTGTCTTTTTGATAAAACACATATTGCAGTTCTTGTGAAAACAACTTTTATTCAAACAACAGAAACAAGCTGACCACTGCAAAACACTGTGGAACAAGTCATGGGTGAATACGGTTACCCCCAAACTTTTACAGTCCTTACAGTCATAAAACCACACACACATGCACACATTGTACAAAAAAACTGTACATATTAGGTAAGGACCAAGTGGAAATACTGTTATACCGTTGATTCAAAACACGATACTGTACCTCATCGTCACCTCAGGACAACCTACAGTACAGTGAAAACAATAATGACACAGTGCTTTAAAATGCAAGTCACTTCATTATAAACAGATTAGCCACTCAGATTCACAGGATCAATAAATAGACAACAAAATAATACATCACTCATCAGCATAATAAGTCACACACAGCTGTTCAAACTTTGAAAAAAAAAAAAGAGTGGCACTCAAAACTGTTTCGGATGTAGAAAAGCAAACAGAACATGATATTGGTTAATTAAACAAACGCACAGCAGGCTAAAAGAACACAAGGAGAAATATATAAACAGACTGTTCTTACAGTAAGCTGGCTGATTTGAGGTCAGCGGTGTTTCCTTCCCTGTTAATAGAGGTTCTGATTTTTAGAGAAGGTGTAAGCTGATCCTCAAACTGTTTGTGGGGCATTTTAAGCCCGAATTTGCCTTTTCTTGTTGATCTCTCCACAGGAAGTGGGAGATAGTCAAACAAATGAGGGCGGCTTACTGGGTAGTCCAGATGATTCAGATGCAGTCCCATGTCAGTAATTTGTTTCAGCAGACAGGGTTGTCTCCTTTGGCACGGTACATTGAGAAGGTCTCTGTGGATTGTGGATTTTGAGGTCCATGTTGTGATATTTACAAAAAGTTCGCTATTTAGCTGCAGAAGTAAACACATTCATGCCATCAGAAACCAGTCCAGGATTGGCATGGGTTTACGGCTAGTTCCACCGGCTCTGCTTAGCCACACTGGTAGTCGACAGCGGTGGAGTGATTGTCGGTTGATGTGAAGCCAGAACTCTGTAGCACCGCAGTACTGTAAAATGAATCCAGCTCCCAGTCTATTGAAAACAGCAAGGGAAAATGAAGGCAGTGGACTCCATGCCAATACGCTGAAGGCCCACACTGATGACTGATGCCACTGCATTTGTCAGTGAAGGTGACATTTATCGGTAATATGGAGAACTTCTGACCGGGCTGAATTCTGAGCTTGTCCGCAATACATACAAACGGTGGTTCCTGGAGTATATGTGCATATTTATATGTATGTCTGATGGTCACGATGGTAGGGAGGTATGGGTCGGTTGCGTGTGTATGCTTGCACTTGAAGCTCTTGAACCTCTTGGTACCTGGCTCTGTGAGCAGCTGTGGAAAGAAACATTGAGAAAAAAAAATCAGTATGAGAGGTCAACCGCAAATAATGAGAAACAAATGCTAAAACCCACACAGGGATATGAAGATGCATCACTTAGCCAAGGATCTTAAGTTGTTTTTAATTTCCTCAGTCGTCTCCTAAAAGGTTACATCACATAGTTACAATACTCGGACCAACAGAACTCAGACACTCAGGTCCAGTGCAGATATTTAGTTTTTTTCTTAGCTTTAGGTTGACCATTTTCTTTCTCTAACTGTCTGGCGACCTTCCAGAGCTCCTTAAGAATGCTCTAAATGCAGTTGGCAGTAACCAAAACATCAAGTGCTCATTAATAAAAAAGAAAAAAAAAAACGATTGGAATGTGTCTGTTATTCAGGCCGCACAGCAGTCAGCAACAACTCACTTCTTTCCTGAGGGTTAGGGTTGTGAAAAAAAGAGAAAACAATGATGTATGTCTAGCTCGCTGGGGGCGCCTCATTGGCTGAGCAAACAGACCCCAAAATAACTACCAATCACTGACGACGTTATCATCACTCAGAGAGGGCATAGTGAAAGAACTTTGATACAATCTTTGCATGTTGGGGACCCGAGACGTTGCCAGGTAAAGTGGGGGGAATATGTTGTAATAGAGATGATTTGACCCCAAAATCTTGAGTTTGAGGGGATAACCCGTATTTAACGACAGCATCTTGTGTTGTGCATAAAGGGGAATGTCAAATTGTATGTCAAGTTCTGCAGGGCTGCTCACACTCTTCCTGTCTTACTCTGATTGGCTGCCAGGCAGAGAAGGACCATCCATTACAGCCAGGAGTAAATAAACACGCACAGCAATTAAAGTGCCATCATTTGTTATGCAACACAGGGTGTGTGTGTGTGTGTGTATGTGTGTGTGTCGATGTGTACACACAAGCTTGCTTGCGTGCAAGTTTCCAAATGTGTGTCTGCGCGCTTAGATGCATGTGTGTGTGTGTGAATTTGTGTTGCGTTGGACGCCATTCTCAGGTTTCTTTGCCGTCGTCTGCACTTAAATTAATGATTTGGGGGCCAGAGAATCAACAAATATGGCCCCCGGCAGGGCATAATGGAGAGCACGACCTGCCTTTGGATGTGTTTGAAGACCGCTCCTCTTTCTTCTCTGTCAACACCTCACTACCTCCACACAACAGACGCATTCACTACACAAACTCACGTGTGACGCCTGTGTTCATGTTGTTAATGAGGAAGTGTGTGTCGCTACGTGGTCATGAACGTGTGTACGCTTATCGGCCTATGATTATTTTACATGTCAGCATGTTGTGACAGAGTGTTAAAATAATATGGAATTTTATGTTTCTGAGTGTAAGTACTGCATTTGTGGTCATTATCATCATTATGTCCGCTTTAGAAACATGTGACAAAGCAAAGCATATTATATCAGCCATGAAAGCTACAACCAGGCTCTGGATAATTTAGTGAGCTCAAATGGCTCTGACGGGCTGCTTAAAGCCTTTTCAGTCCAAAGGTCACTGTCCACCATTTTCTGCATTATCAGCTGCTAAAGGCAGCAAAAAAAGATGTGCGCTACAGGTATACCACAATTCACAGAAGAAGTCTCAGAAGTTGTACACGAGGCAGCACTTTTCTGGATCTGATTCAAAGAAAATTGTAGAATTTGAATATGCAATAAGTACATTATGATTGAAAACAACTGAAATTAAACCAGCTGTCCTGTTTGTGTCCTTTAAGTGACTTTTTCTGATTGATTTCTTTTTCTCTTCTTTTCTTTTTGATATTTTTCTAGTGTTGGGATGATGTTTGATATAAAATACCTGCAGACAATTCTATAGGCTGCAATGCACAAGAGAGGACATTTGCCACAAAGTTGTAAACACACATAGAGATTCCATTTATCCAACAGAAAGTGGCGATGTGCAGCAGTTCTGATAAATTTAGGAATCTGATAAATTGCACTGTAATATCCAAACCGTGACCTGAATCTTCACTGGGACGGCTACTGATAAAACTAATATTAACACTTGACACTCACTCCAACAGATCAGATACAGCCCTCCCATTTTACATTGAGCCACTTCACCTAAAATGAGTTTAGGGAGGGGAGACAAAAAGCACATTTTCTAATGGCTTTAATCAAACATGTGAATGTATATATTTCTGTCTCTTTTGGGATTTGTTTCAGATCACGACTGTACAGACTGTTCTTTTAAATCTAAAAATTGCTGTCATATCAATGCATACTAATGAAAAAATATAATTTCCTTCTCCCTCTTGCAACACTCAGCCATCATCTGTCTCTAAGTTAAATCAGCCATTCCTATCTTCTACTCCCTGCGTAACCCTCATCCTCCTCCCCACTCCTCCACTCTCAGTGTGCTTGATGGTGGGATCAGACAGGGTGAACACTTTCTCATATTAATACTCCTTTAGCCTGCATCTGGAGACAGGAAAATGATTGACTTATCAAAATTTGCAAATGCCCTCTGCAGAGACAGAGGTCTGGTTGAGGTGAAAAAACATTTATACTGCCTTGTACTCCTGTGTTAATTTTGTGACCAGTATTGTGTATCTACATACACAACATACCAGGTAAAAGTTCTTGTAAGTGGATAGGTAATCTAAATGAGGCTGTAAGGTGTCTATTTTGTTAGTCCACCTGTATTTCTCCCAAAACCTACTGGTCTTTCTGTCCAACTTTCTGTCTTCTTCCTGAGGATTGGGTATCAGGCCTGAGAGTCTGGATTTGAGCGGCTGAACCCCCTTCTTGTCTTTAAGTGCTACTAATATAAACTGCCTGTTAAATGGATCCTTGCAGAGTTTTGGGACCACCAATGTTAAAGTGCTGCTCTTTCACTTGGAATTACCCTGTGGTTGGTGTCCTTTCACTCCTACAGAAAAAAGAGAAACACACCAAATTCAATTACCAGTACAAAGATTGGTACTTGGTACCCCCCCGCACCTCGGGCCCGCCCCCCCCCATCGCCCCGCCTCACCTCACTCTACCACTCTACCAGAAGGAGAGATGTAAAACAAGCCATTCGGTGGTATGAAGGGGCAGATACTGGGGTAAAATAAAGGGAGAGAGAAGTGACAACTAGCAGCAGAGTGGATTTTCTCACTGTTCTGTCTGAATAGAAACACATGCAAATACATATTTCTTTTTGTTGAGATACTTTGTGAACGCAGGCCTTGTATGTGACCACCATATCGTGTTTCTAATAGGATAGTCTATTTAACCTCAGAAAAGGAGGTCAGAAGAGAAGCAATTTTGACTAAACGTCTTACAATGAAAACAAATCACTGCTCTTATCATATGTCAGATTTATTGACTGCAGTGAGTGAAAATAACCCAGATTCAACATGCTCATTGATGGTGAAATAAAAGACATCATGCAGCACCTCTATTGCTCTATTGCAAGATAGTGTCTAAGGTAATCTATTACAGCAAATGGGATTTTAAAAAAGCAGTCAAAATTTGGTTCCAATTCATTGATCTGATGTTACGGGTTCCCACGAGCTAAAAACTCAGATTTCGTATTAGATGGGTAAAAGAAATGTTTTAAATGTGCGCACATACTCATCCAATCTTTTCGAAACTATAGCCCTTTAAAACCCTTAAAAAATATGGTCTACATCAAGCCATCCCAGGAAGAGAGAACATCTTCTCTGCAACAATTGCTTCAAGAGCTCGCTCTTTCTTCCCTGCATTTCTTCTCTTTCTTTTTTTCTGCTTGACTTTTACAACTTCCTCCTGGTTGGGGCTGCAGCTCTAACCCAAACAAAACTCCATTTTTTAGTTATTGGCCCTCATGGCATGTAATGGAGAATCAAGCTAATTATCCCTACAGCTGTTTTCACTTGCTTTTTATGTAAGCAATACCTGGCTGATCCAGAGAGCAACAGTGAGGCCCTTCTTAGCGCTACAGGCCTCCAGGCCGGCTGGAATTAGAGAGCAAAATGCCAGGTTTCCCCACCCCCCGATACTGCCTGTGTGTACCCCTGCACCCATCTCCCAGCACACAACCCAACCCAACCCAACCCAACCCAAACCCAGCCTGACACCACCCCCTGCACACCCAAAGCTTCCATTTCCACTCCCTCATACACCTCTCAAAACTCCCTCTTTGATGTTAAACAAAGCTGCCCTTGACAGTTAAGATGGATCTGTATGACAAGCGCTCATTTTCTTTCACTGATGGTCCCTGGCAATTAATGAAGAAGGTGAGCTAGGGTGTGGCTCGGATTAAATGGTAAGCATCTCCTGCTGTCACAAGACTAGAAAGAGAGTAAGGAGTGCAAAAAATTTGAAGGAGGGAAAGAAAGACAGAGGGGTAAAGGCAAAGAGTGGGAGAGAGGGGGGTAAAGAGTGAAAGAAAACAATCCCTCAAAGGCTAATTACATAATTTCCTTCATCTGAGCAAACACATGCTGGGTGAAAGCAAGTGTGAGCAAGCCTCACAGATGCCAGGCAGAGAGGTGCTGAGGAGACCTACTAACACAGTCTACAACTGCTCTCAAGCAATGGACAGTCTGTGCGGCAAAGGCACAATGTTGCCCCAGATCTCTCTACAGTGTTTGTAGCTTTTGTGGGATTCATATCCAAAACCTTTGTATTGATCCTCGCTTCTCCGGCAATGTAAGGGGAAAGTGACTCAGAGGAGATAAACAATTGCTGGTGTAATGTTTCCCTCATTACAGTTCATTCCTCACTGCAGCCAGAAATCTGTTCAGTACAAACACCACTAGGTGGAGTTGACTGTTGATGAAAAAAAAAAGAAATCTCATGTATCAAACTCATTAAATTCCCATGGAGAGGCAGCGTGCCTCTGTAAGTGAGTCAGACACCGTGTAGGCTTCACATGTGCCATTTCTGAAAGCTTTCTTCTTGTTCAAACACCAGCGTGCATCGGCTCCTTGTGTCTTCTCAAACTGACATCTGGTTTGATATTAACAGAGACAGAGAGGGGGAAAGAGACACTGGTAGCAATTTTAAGAC